AAACCATCAGCTTCTATATCAAAGTAACAGAACACTGAGTAGTGTATTTTTTTTAAGTGATATGGGCATCTGCTATCCTGGGCAGACCTGGGTACACAGGTAAGGTCTTCATGCCCAATTCTCCTTTTTGTCCTTTTTCTAGACCAAATGAAGGCACTCCTCACCAGCTTTTGCTTATCTTTCCCTGTGAAGAGACAATGTATCTGGAACCAGAAGAGAAGAGATTTCTTTTTCCTAGTAGTCTGTGAACTCCTGGAAGCTAGGGGGACGTCCTCTTCCTCCCTGCACACCCAGATCCCAACACAGGACCTGCACCCAGTTAGCTCCTTTGCTTTCCCCTTCCTATTTCCCTTGGTAGAGAGAACACTCTGCAGAGTGTGTGGTTAGTTTATTTTTTACCTCAAGGAGTATATTATTTCTGACAGTGACTTCTTCCCCAGCCGTCATTTACCAACATCTATCCTGTGGGCTGCCTCAGTTGGGTTCGTAGAAACACCTCTTCAGCACCTGCTGGACAAATCCTCATGTAGTCCTCTTTGGAAGCTCAAAAATAAAGTGGAGCTTAATCTAAAAGGCTAAGGTCCACAGGACAGTCATTTTCTCTATACCTTTTTCTGGCCTGAACATTTTTAAAGAAACTTCTGATATTATGAATCATGGATGCCCACTTTGGACGACACACCACAAACCAAAAGTTGGCAAAAGAAGGAATGAAAAGAGCTATAAACTTCCCTAAGCAGCTTTGTAAATACAAACGAAATATTATAAGCCAGCAAACAGAACTGCTAATGGTGGTTTCTAAGGGCATTTTGTAGTTACAGATGCAACACTGGCATTATTTTCCTTTTCCTCCTCAGTAATCAATATTTCAGGGAAAAATGCTAGAAACATTGATCAGTGGGGAGTTCAATAGTATAAGTCTTTTACAAAACAGGTCATATATGTCCTGAAGTTTCAAAACTGCCTAGATAATGTCAGGAATCATAGTGATAAAGGTATGAAATTTTCAATATTTGCTCAGTCCATGTCTTTCCTGGAACCAACATGGTTCACTAAAATTATCAAAGTAAATATATATCAAGCAAAAAATAAATGACTTTAAATCTCCTGAAAGTTTTACTTACAGACCAAACCCTCAGAGAGCTCTTTGTCATCATTTCATAAGCACTGGTGTATTGTTTAATGCTGCCTACCACAAAAGTAATCACAGGTTTCTGCCTTGTGTGCAATTATTTTTATAATGTAATACAGAATGAAGAATGAAACCCCAAATAGTAGATAATAAACATAAAAGACAGAGAACTAGAGAATGTCACAAGTACAGCTGTAATACCACATGTTATTTCAAAGTAAAACAAAGTCAACCTTCCCAGCAACTTTTTCATCAACTGGGGGCACAATTTGAAAGCGTCTGGGTATGGCGGGAGCTTTGCAACCCAAACTTGTACATACTGAATTTGGATTCCTATAAAATACTTCAGCACTTACTAGCTTTTTAAAGAAACTGTTCCTAACTTGTGTTTCTAAAGCTCACCAAAGTTTAAGAAGTAGTATTGATGGATTCTGAGGTATCGTTAGTATTACAAAGAGCCTGGGAAAATGGTCCGTTTGCCTGTCTGTGTGTAGTAATAATCGTCATCATTGAATCCTCACAAAAATCCTAAACTTAAATGGCAAATGGTTGCTTTCAGTTGGAGTCACATCAACTTTTTGTGAGGGAACTTTATAGATACACAGGCTTTCTTAATTTTAAATAAGAAAATAATTATTTATTATAAAATGCGGCTTGATATATAGAATTTTTCAAAAACTGACATCATTAGGCCTGAAAATATGATGGAACAATTTATGAGAAGGCTGATAACTAGTGTTTGGTGTATATTTGTCTAGTTTCTTCTGACAGAACAGGGAATCAGAGAGGGCAATGATGATAACTTCCACAGAGGCGAACACAGCGCTCAGCACATAGGAAGCCTTCTCTACATGCATGCTGTTTGCTTGATCTATAAGGTAATACAAAGAAACTAGAGATTCCTATTGGCATTTCTTACCTCTAATACTGATGGTAGGGGGGATATGATGCTTTTCTACAATTGCTTTTTGCTTCAGAAGTTGGTCTAGATATGCCAGGATCTGACCCACTGGTGGGATTCTTATGTCCATTGAATAGAGTACTTCCAACAGTGAACCCAATAGGCAGTTGCACTCAAGGAATTGTATTAGGTGCCCTGTGGGTATTGCTCGCCAGGGCAGCAGCACTTCCTGAGCCTGCCTGTTTCAGTGTGGCCCTGAACACTGAAGTGCCGAAGAACAAACATGATCAATGAGAAAATCTGTTCAACAGCAACATCACCAGATCACAAGTCAGGATTGTTCTGTATCCTTGAGTTGATGTGCGCTTAGTGCCATGGATGTAGTCACTCCATCCACTGCACGCTACATAATAAGAATCCTCTGCTATTTAGTGCTGAGACTTTACAAAGCACGTGATAAGGAAATTGGATATTTCTTTGCCACTATCACAGATTTAGTAACATGATTTTTAAAAGATCAATTGCATTCTACATTTTGCAACATAAATTTGAAGCTTGAGGAATCCCCTTTCCCCGTACTTCTTTGCTGAAGAATATATATGCATATGTATTGGATTATTACAGCTGGCATCTTATCAACTGAAAACAAAACCTGAGTAATTCAGACAGACTTTAGATAACTGTCAAAATGGGCTCTATTTTAATAGTATTGAACTGGGCTATATATGAACTTTTCATAAGGCCGGTTTGCTAAATCAAATTGAAGTCACTCCCACTGCCTAAATTAAATCCCCCCTCCCTGCTTTACTTTTATTTTTATTTTTTTGCTGAAGTCCTGAGATAACTAGTGGTACTACTCACTGGCAGCCTTCATGGTTACATATCCTAAAACTTGATAAACTCTAAAAGAGCAGCTTCTTGACCACCAGACTGACACTATGCTTCAAAGTCTCTCCATGACAGTCACTTCATTGGTTTAGGCACTGATGATCCATGTTAACACACAAATGTATTACTTAGTAAGGGCAAAAGCTAAGGCACTGTGATATAATGGAAAGAGCACAGATATTAGAACCAGTAAAACTTCACTTTGAAACCAAGCTTCACCATGCCCAAATTTGGGTATTGCATCACCATATCTGTAAAATGGAAGTAATAGTACTCACTTTGAACAATTATTAACATGGGTACCCCTTATAACTTACAGTCACCAAAAGGGTAATGTATCAGAGTGCCTGGCACATAGTAAGCACTCAATGGTAACTCTTACCATCATTAATAATCCCTTGTTCCACAGCATCCAGAGCAGAACCCTGAAGGTAGGGAAAGGAAACAACCACTGTTTGGGGCCCAGAGAAGTTCAGTAACTTGTTCAAGGTCACAGAGTAGTGAATAGCTTAACAAGTCTCTGAAATCAGTCTAACTCCAAAGCTGAGGCTCTTGCCTCAGAAACCTGCTGCATTTTTTTCTTGTGTGCTCCCATCAGGAAGTCATGATTTGACAACCTCAGTGATTCAGGTTGCTTAGAAAAAGTCAGCCATGAAAGACTGGAATAATTTTAAACTACATAAAAGCTATGCACAGAGTGAGCCTGCTTTTGTGCAGGCCTAAAGGCATGCCAAGGAGCAGCAGAGTCTGCTGAAAACTGTAAGTGAAACACTGTAGTGAGGTCTAGAATGACCTGCTGGAACATCAAAATGGATTATGCTGGAAAATGCCCAAGTCTCCTCTGTGTCTCATCTTCCCAAAATTCCAGGGAGCTATCAGCGCACACAAGAGTACCACAAAACCAGCCCCCAACCCAGAAGACCTAGCTCTGAGTTAATGTCCCTGAAGGTGCTCCTTCTTCCCCAGCACTCTCTTCCCAAGCAACCAGGGCCTCCCGATAATCAGGACTCTGAGGGGAGAAAGCTGGTGGGGCAGGATCATTTCTTTCGTGGTCCCATCCCTGTCCCTTGTCCCTGTACCAAGCAGGCAGCCAGACTCCACCCCCGGCCCCTTTGCCTCAGGGAGCATTTATCCTGTTGGCAGACCACCTAAGCAAGCCTGGCTGTCTTCCAGAATCCTGAGCACCTTGATGGGATTATGCATAGGAGGGAGGGGACAGTGCCCTGGAGAAGCCACGTGCAGGAGGGAAACTTCTACTCAGAGACAAGGCTTCAGGGCAAAGGCTTCTAGGGGCACAGAGGAAGGCTGGGCTCCAGGCATTACAGCGCCCAGCCTGAACAGAAGCACCCTCTTGTCCTACGAGCTCAGGAGCAGCAGATGCCCACCTCCAAGGGACCATGTGGACATGGTCAGTGAGGGGCACTGGAAGGATCACAGTGGACTGAAGGCCCCAAAGAAACCCCTTCTCCCCACTACCCCATTCTTGGTAACTCGCAGGAAGACAGGGGGCCTGTAATAATGAGATTGAATGTTCCTTCTCCTCAGTGGGATGGAGGGAAGGTGCAGATTTAAGCTGCCACCTCTAACCAATCTGCCCCGAGATACTCATCACGCAGAAGACACAGCAGGTGAGCACACACTCTTTATTAACGGTTATGGTCAGTAAAGCCAACAAACGTTGAGTTTGGTGAGCTGGGATCTGGCGGGGGGACTCAAGGACTGTTTTTCTTTAGAATGGAGACCATCTAACTCCAGTCAGCATCAGCCATCCAGAATCCACCACCTGCAAACTTAAATACAATAAGGAGAAATCCCTTATTTAGAAAGTATGATACCCGAAAGTAGTCTTTGTTAAAATAAATATATAAAATAAGAATATAAATATGTTTGTATATATTTGTACTCAGAATGATAAAAAGTGGTTAAGTTGGGTAATGGGATAATGGATTATTTTCATTTTCTCTACATAATTTTGGTTTTCAAATTTTTTTGTGAAGTAAATGAATTTTTTATCAGAAGGGGGTCTCAGAAAATTGTTTTTTCTTTGGAATGTTTCCATTGTTACTTACCTTTTTAAAATTAGTGAGTTTTTCCAGGGTCCAGGCCTCCACTCTCAAATGGCCTACGGACTTTCCTGCATTTATAGCAGGCTTTACACCGTTGGCAGTCCCAGTTCCCTGGACTGCTGCCTGAGGCCAACTTCTCTTGGCACTGGGAATCTGAGGCTTTTTTCCCTTTTGGCTCATTCTGTCCCAGAGGCTGCTGATTCTTCTGGTTTTCTCTCATACCAAAGCTCCAGCTGTCCCCCAGGGAGGTCACCTGGGGCTTCTGTGGACCTTCTTCTTGGCTTTGGCTACTGCCCGCACCCAGGGTAATCATCTCCTGGGGGTTTTCTGTACCTGTCTCCAGGCTAACGCTCTCCATGAGGGGGGCCATTCCCTGGGACCTCTGTAGATTTTCATTGTAGCTAAGGTTTCTAATATTTTCCAGGGGGACTATATACTGGATGTTCCTACAACCTTCCTCCTGCATATAGCTCCTCTGGTAACACAATGGGGCAATCTCCTCCTGGAAGCCTTCTGAAGCCCTTGGGCCAGAGGGGGAGATCCCCAGAGGAGGCATCTGCAGTGGCCTTACTGCAGCTCTTGCTGGTGGTAGAGATGGCAAGAATGAGACTGCCACTGGGATCAGTGCATAGAATGGAACTGCATTTGGAACCCCCATTGGCAAAGGGGGTTGCATAGCCTGAGCCCAGGGATTCAGGGATCCTGGCACATTGAGAGCATCTGCTGGGGCTGGTATCTGGACCTCACTAAACAGCCTTGTGTGCATCCCCATAGCCATGGTATCTATCTGCTGCCCTGCAATCAGGGGCCCTGCTGTGGCCCCGAGCTGCTCAGGTGGAGACCCAGGCAATGTTTCATGGGTCAGTGGGGCAAACTGGGCTGACCTTTCTAACTGGAACAGCTGCCCACGAAGCACATCATGCACAAATAGCACTTTCTGCAGGGTGGCCCCTGTGCGGTTCAGCTGTGTGGTCATCTGGTCATGCTCTTCACGCAGCTGCTGCAGCTCAGAGGCCAGAACTAGGGCGGCTGCCTCACGCTCTTATACCTGCTCCCACAGCCACTGGACTAGGCGTGCCTGCTGCTCCTGCTGCCCAGAGGCCGCACGCACACCCAAAGCCAGTGCGCTCCAGGCACAGGACCTCTTAATGGTGCAAGGCAACTGCTGGTCAACTAGGATGGTCAGAAGCCGGTCCTCTACCTCTTTCCAGGGCTGCGAGCGGAAGGCCACATAGAAATCTTGGCCACCCCCATTCGTGAGGATTTCATTGTTGTTAAAACTGATTACTTCACTGTGACGGAACCCGCTGGCAGGGTCACGAAAGTCAACCGCCATGGCCCCCGTAGCCTAGTTAACCAGTCACCTCATGAGCGATGCCACCCCTGCCACCACTGGTAAAGGCTGCCGCAGCTAACAAATCCACCCCTCGGTCCTTCCCAAGTCCTGGTCTCCTCCATGGCCTCTTTCCACCCTCATTCTGTCGACTTACAGGACACAGACAGTAAAGTTCCTTGGGTCACCACACCAACGGCCACCGGGCAAGTGCGTAACACGTCACAGAGATGAGCTAAATGACGTATACCGCAAGGCCTGCTGAGACCTCCCTCCCTCCCTCCCTCATTTTCCTCACACACAGTAGCTTCCCTCACCACCGGGAAAGTGCGTGAAATGTCACAGAAATGAGCTGAGCGGCGTATACCACAAGGCCTGCTGGGACCCACCACCCAGCAGAGCCCCAGAGCACGGGGACAAACAGGCAAGATGGCTGTCGTGGGGACTGCAGTAAGCCTATAGAAGACCATTATTTCTAAGAACCTGGGAAGGACAGTACCCAGTATCCTGGAAAGAATTCCTAGCTGCGTGGTAGAGTTAACAGATATAGGTGCAGACCTACATCTTATCTCAGCTCCATGTCCCGAAACTCTCTAGTACTAATTCAAACCTCCAATATCATTAGTTACACACTGCATACTTCCCCCTTCATTCTGAACAGATGAACTTGGAGTCCCTATCATCAGGATAATCCAGTGATTGACCCATGAATTTTTCAAACTCTTCCTATAAATTCACTTTCATGTTTACCTGATCAACTCTGTTCTCAGAGGATTCTTTTTCTTAAACTAAATGTCCCTCTCCTGGGTGTTCCCTATAAGAATTGCTAATGGAGTCATTCAGGCTAGTTAAATGATAATTGGAATACACACAAAGAAATAAAGCGCATGCTCAACATAAATACAAAAGACAGTATTAATGTGTTATGTATCTCCTTTTTTGTAATACATGATTTAAAAGATGACTGCATAAAAGAATACAAAGCTGTCTTCATGAGCACACAGTATATAAAATTTTAATTTGTGGCAATAAACATAAGGGGGGCTGGAGTTATATAGGAGCAAAGACTTTGTATACTACTGAAAGTTTGTTTTAATCCAAAATATACTATTATAAATTAACATGTTAATTGTAATGCTCACAATATCCACTAAGAAAATAACCAAAAAATATAAAGAAAAGGAAATGAGAATGAAATCAAATGGTACACTCCAGAAAAAGAAATCAATGAAATGCAAAAGAAAGCAGTGATGAAGGAATTGGGGTGGAGTGTGGAAGATATAAGATGTGTTAGAAAACAAATAGCAAAATGTTAGAAGTCCTTCCTTATCAGCAATTATATTAAATACAAATAAACTCCAAATGACAAGTAAAGATTTGCAGAATGGACAATATTTTTTAAGTGATACAAATGTGTTGTCTGCAAGAGATTCATTTCAGATTCAAAGATGCAAATTGTTTGAAACTAAAAAGAAGGAAAAGGCTATTCCATGAAAACAGTAACCACTGAGAGCTAAAATGGCTTTCCAAGTATCAAAGTAAATTTTAAGGCAAAAATATGTTAAGATACCCAGATTCAAAAAGACATATGCACCCCTATGTTTATCGCAGCACTGTTTACAACAGCCAAGAAATGGAAGCAACCTAAGTGTCCATCAGTAGATGAGCAGATAAAGAAGATGTAGTACATACACACAATGGAATATTATTCAGCCGTAAGAAGAAAACAAATCCTACCAATTACAACATGGATGGAGGTAGCGGGTATTATGCTCCATGAAATAAGCCAGGTGGCAAAGACAAGCATCAAATGATTCCACTCATCTGTAGAGTATAAGAACAAAGCAAAAACTGAAGGAACAAAACAGCAGCAGAATCACAGAACCCAAGAATGTACTAACAGTTACCAAAGAGAAAGGGACTGGGGAGGATGGGAGGGAAGGGAAGGACAAGGGGGGAAAAAAAAGAAAGGGGGCATTACGATTAGCACACATACTGTAGAGGGTGGGGCATGGGGAAGGCAGTATAGCACAGAGAAGACAAGTAGTGATTCTATAGCATCTTACTATGCTGATGGACAGTGACTGTAATGGGGTATGTGGGGGGGACTTGATAATGGAGGGAATCTAGTAACCACAATGTTGTTTATGTAAGTGTATATTAATGATACCAAAAAAATAAATAAATAATAAATTTTAAAAAATGTTAAGATATAAAGGATGGTATTATATGTTAAAAAAGGGTCAATCCATCAAGAAGATATACCAATTACAAATACATATGTACCTAACAATGAAGTCTCAAAATGCATGCCATAAATAGAACTGAGGGGAGATAGAGGCTGTTCTACAGAAATAATTGGAGACTTCAACATTCCATTTCCAATAATTGATAGAAAGACTTGACAGAAGATTAATAAGAAAATACAAGACTTAAACAACACAATTCAACACTATAAACCAAAGAGACCTAAGAAACACTTATAGAACAGTCAACCCCAAAACAGCACACTACATATTCTTCTCAAGTACACATGAAACATTCTCCAGAACAGACCATATATTAGGCCACAAAAACTAGTCTTAATAAATTTATAAAGATGGAAATCATACCAAGTATTTCCTCCAACCACAACAGAATGAAATTGGTAATCAATAACATCAGGAAATTCACAAAATATACAAAAATGTGAAAATTAAATAACACTACTAAAAATTGGAATAAGAATTCTAATTAGGAAATTAGAAAATATGTTGAGATTAGTGAAAACAAAAATATCAAAGTAATGGGATTCAGTGAAGGCAATGCTCAGAGGGAAATTTATAGCTAAAAATGCCTACATTTAAAAAGATAGGTTAATAACCTAACTACCACTTTAAGGAACGAGGAAAAGAAGATAAAACTAAATCTAAAGCAAGCAGAATGATGGAAATGATAAAAATTAGAATGGAGATAAAATAGAGAATAGAAAAAAATTAATGAAACCAAAAGTTGGTTCTCTGGAAAGAGCAACAAAATTGACAAACTTTTAAATAAATTGTTCAAGAAGAAAAGAAGGATTGAAATTATAAAATCTGGAAAGAAAGCAGGATATTTACTACAAAACTTACAGAAATAAAAAGGATTATGAAAGTATATTATGAACAATTACATGCTAACAAATTAGACACCTAGATGAAATGGGTCCGTTTTTACATTTCTGAGTGGGGAGAAAAGGCTATTAGGGTTTTAATGCAGATTACATTGAATCTTTGGATCATTTTGGAGAGTACTACCATCTTAACAATATGTAATCTTCCAATTTGTGAACACAAGATGTCTTTCTACTTACTTAGGTTTTCTAAAACTACTCTCAGAAATGTTTGTAGTTTTCAGTGTGAGTCTCATACCTCTTTGGTTTAATTTATTCCTAAGTATTTTAGTCTTTTGATGCTATTGAAAATGTTAAACTTTATAGCAACTTCAAACTATTCCTAAATTAATGCAACAACACTTCATACATGCCAGGATGAATTAAAATAATAATTATTATTAAGTTTAAGATACTTTTGACCTTCAAGACCTTTATGGAATCAGTTTTCACTGTACGGAAACAAGAAGGTGATATGTAATGACCTATAAAGTGAGATCTTAAAAGTAACCTGAGTTACCATTCTTGATGAAACACTGATACTATCACAAATACCACCATACTTTACTTTGCAGGTGTGCAAGTTTGCAAAGTGTGAATATATGGTTATAAGAGAGTAGAACAATTCAATTGCATAAATTAATCAATCTGAGAAACCACATTAAAAACATAGCTAATTTTTACATGATTTTCAGTAAGTCCGTATACTTTCAATTTTAGTATAACCTCTGTCACAAAGCCTTCATAACAACTCTAAATGATAATCATTGATGATAAAGGAAGGAAAATAACATTTTGAAGTTCATCATATTAGTATGTATCTACGCTTGTGCAGATTTAATCTCCTAGGAATCAAAGGTAGTAAATAGAATAGAGAAAAGGCATATGCAGTAAATATAAGCTATATATGCTGAGTACTGGGAAACAGTTTTATACCATTTTAGGAAAATTTACACCTTTTATTACATGTGCTTTCTTTCCTTGTACTTTGCCCCCACAGTGACCTCTGCAGTACAGCTACCCAGCAGATGCCAAAAGAAAAGAAAGGAGGCACCTAGGCAGTTAATCTCAGAAGTACTAGAGTCATGTTCCCTGAATTTCTTTCACCACATGAACAGAATACACAGGTAGGAAGCCGCAGCAGCTGGTAAACATAACAAGTGTGAACATAGCTGTACATAATGTCACACTGTAAGTAAATACAACTTTTAATCAATTTTATCTGACCCATATTGACAATATGCATAATTATTGTGCATATAGTAAAATTAGCCATGACGAGTAAGCAGATCTCAAATTCATTTTATGCAAACTGGGGTTCTGTATTTCCTTTCTCCTTGTTCTCAGGTAACTATGTGCAAGTCACATCACTGTTGAACATTTGCACTGAAGTCATTCACGTTTCAAATCTTCCCATCCTCACTCTTGCCACCAGCACACTTACACACACAGTCTCTTACTCCTCACTCTTACACTCACATTCCAAGGTGGTCTGGAGAAGTCAAGGAATCAGCAACTCCCAGACATTGAGCTCTGGCCGACTAACTGGCTGGAAGTCATGCTTGGATCACCACACTTGGAGGGGAGAGCAGAACAGATAAGTTATCAGCCAAATGCCATGGTGTGAACAGAGGAATGGACTCTTGATCCCCAAGGATATGATAGTCTTAAGGTTGGGGCAGAAGCTAGGGGCCTGAAGCAGAAGGGGGAGGAACCAACTAGGTGGCATATCTGTGAGTAGCTATTTATCTCAGAACAAGTGTAGACTGACTGGTACAGAAAAACTGGGGACACACCCTTTGAGAAAAATCACCAGACTAAAAACAAAGAAATTGACAGGCCCTTTTGCCCTAGCAATTACTAGAAATAGCTT